TGACTTTGATAATAAATACGAGTTCCTGAAAGTGGCTTGCTTTTGCGTATGTGTTGTGGGGGCAACTATCCAAGACCAGAAGCTGGTGCCACTGGGGCTGGAGACAGGAAACCAGGGACCTGAACCCCGTTTTGCTTATCTCTGGGCCCTGTGGTGGGGAGGTCATGGCCCTGGCCACGTTAGGAAAATGCCCTAAGGGACCCACATTCTGTGTGGTCTTTACTCCCAGTGCTTATGATGGAGTGTTTGGCTGTTTAGAGCTATTCCGAAAGCTGTTGTCTCCCTCTCTGTGGGGGCCAGACGCTGTTTCAGGCTCATTTCCAGTTTGGCTTTCTTTGCTAAAACAGATGGTGCAGTGTGCCAGTTCTCGGGCCTCTGTGGTTCTATCAAAGCTCTGCTCAGGCCGAGCTCCGTACCTAGACTCTCAGAATAGTGGGTGCCCCACTCATTGTTAGGTGCTCTCAGAGGTCTGCTGGAGTGAGGTAGGCGTTTGCAGCCCGCACAGGCTCTGGCTGCTGCTTTTCCTGTTAGGATGTGGAGGGTGGCAGATGTGTCCTTCCCCCTGGCCGTTCCCCCTTTAATGGCAGCTGACCCGGGGTCTGATTCCACCTTGCTTCCTTACCCACTTCTCCTTGCCACACACTCCTCCTTCATGGCCTTTATCCCTGAGGGGTGACCCCCCTCCACTGTCCCAATTTGATGAGGTTTCCTATGCCTTTGCTCCACTGTGTGCCAGTCAGAAGGGAAAGAAAAGACTGAGAAGCAGAGATTGCTTTAAATAAAGAGGCACTTTATGTGACCCATCATGAGCTTGGGCAGTTCTTTGACTTTGCCAAGCTGTAATCCAGGGCTCCTGATTCGCGGTGTCTGGGCTGGTGGGCTGTCCTGGGCCCCACACCTGTGGGCCTTACCGTCCCCGGGGGAATGGTTGGTTCTCCAGGGGGTCTGCCAACAAAGGGTGACTTCCAGTGACCTTATTTGCCGGGGCACCATAGCAAGCAGTCCCCGGGGGAGTCTGTGGTCCCATCCAATCTGCCCAGTGTCTTTCTACCTACCCCAGAAGGCGACATCATCATACACTTCCGTTTCCCTGAGAGAGAGCACAGTTGGGTCAGCCAGGGCACCC